TTCCACCACCTCCCACCATTCGCCTCCCCCCAATAACCCCCCCCCCCCCCAAGGTCTTCGTACAAGAAAAAACAATGCGTGCGAAATGCACCCGCCGGCCCTGCAAGTCTCTTCCCGCTGAAGTCTCTCAGCACAAAACCAAAACCGCAGAAACAGCACCAAACACATTGCTCACACTATTCACAAACACCAACGCCACCAGCACAAGCAACAAACCAAATTGACTCACAACACCACTGACGACACCACCGACATCACCGAAGGCACGATTTACAACACCATCATGTCCGCTCCTGAAGCTCAAAGTTACCATAGGCGCGGGCCATATCCTCACGCACCCACAGCCTTCGTAGCGGCGAGCCGTGCAGGAAAGCTTGCAGATGGCCCACCACATCCTGAAAGAAACGCCAGCAACAGCTGACTTTGAGTAAATGCAATGAAGTTTGGTTACAGTTGCAAAGTGGCTGCCTTGCTTTTGGGGGAAGTGCTGGGGGAGATAGTCTGGGCTCCTCTAACTTTCTCATTGCCAGCTTGACGTGGAAGTCAGGCGGCTTGCCCAAATCATGCCGCATGAGGCACAGCCCCACAAATCCAGTGCCTTGGATGTCACTGCTGCGCCTTGTCTGACTTTTGTTTAACGCACTGTCCATTGTGACTGAGGGGCGGTATGCATTGGCCATAAGGAGGCTGATGCAAAGCCAGAGAGGCGCTGCGCAAAGAATCACCTCAGGAAAGCATCGTGAGTCACCTCACGAATTGCAGAGAACAAATACTGGCAACATTGACGTCTTAAATGAACCTATTTTATGTCAACAAACAATCAGGCCAACTCAAATCAACACTTGACAACAACTACTGAACGTGATCCAAGGCATTTCTGAGAACCACTGGTCAAGTTGTACTGTTTGCTTTGTGATGTGCGATAAACTGGTGTTTCGCAAGCACCACATTCTCAATCTCGACCCAAGTACGACCTCTTATTCTGCTAATCTGGCCCGGTTTTTTTCGGTTTATTCCTCCCATGGCCCTGGCCTCTGCTGGGTGGGAAGCATCCCAGGCCTGAAGTCTTCCCATGAAGTGCTCATGGGTCAAAGACTCGGACCAAACCTCGGCTGGCACCAGCAAAACCCCACAGCTGGCTTCCATTGACACATTAAAACAACTTGTCAAGCGACACTCCAGCAGGGTCCAAGCATCCTTGATGAACACAATTCAAAAAAAGGCTAGTACTTCCCACTGCCAAGCTGCCACGTTACCTGCAGGCTGCTGACTGAAATCTAGTGGTAGCTCCAGAGATGGATCCTCCGCTTGGTCAACCAAAGATCTCAAACGCATTCAATGACAAGCACAAGCGACAAAGTAAGAAAGGAATGAAGCCACTAGTCTCAAATAAGGTGAAGGGAAGGAATGCAATGGAGGATTCAATGATAGGAACCAAATAAAAGGGAGATGCCAGGGATACATGAAATGAACACATGATGCTGAGGTCAATGGCAATGGAGCACAGGGAAGCAAACATCTACCGAAAGCTGATGTATTTTGAAGCCACCCTCAAGAGCGACCAATCTCTGGAAAGGCCAGCATTTGCTGATTGCTCTCAGGCTGGGCAACCAACGTAAACAAGCGGTGGAATGAAATCTATCGCATGCTTTGCTCATCACACCTCAATGAAATGCCCTGGCTCATGCACGCAAGCTTCCTCTTTCAAGAAGTGTTGCTGGTAATGCTGCGCGCAGCTTGGGCATTTCTCGTGATCCATCCATCGGCCCAGGCGGAACAATGACAGCTGCAAATCCTTGGGGCAAGAATTCGACGGGGGCGCATATCCGGGCTGATTAAAGTTATTCCTAGCAACCTCCCAAGAGCCCGGCAACCACTCGGCCCCTTAACTACGCAGACCAGCCGGCGGCAAAGTTTGGGCTGACCGAACTCATGAAGAAAGTCTGGTGACAACGAAGCAAAAGCGAGTTTACAACTACTGTATGATGTGTCTTGCTGTTGCTAACACGATCTCTCACAATATCAACTTCTCTGCTGCAGAAGAGCAATGTGAGATACATCAGTAGTATTTCCTATCGCCAGTGCTGATACCTAAGGACACTGGTGCTCTTGCAAAAGCAAACGGCATGCTGATGCTGATGACACTGAAGCTGCTTGTGCTTGAGGCTTTCACGACGCCCAGAGTACAGTGGTGCAATGTTTGAGTTTTGCGTGCATTGTTGGCGACCTGGCGATAGTTGGCTTGGGCTTGCTGAGGATGGGAGGACTGGTGGCAGGACGCCCAACTGACGCCGATCCCTTATGACTGGATCACCATTCAGAACACGACATTTGCGTCATGCCCTTGTTATCATAGAGCTCTGGCATGCAGCCATGTTGCTCTTGCCTTACTTCTAAGCAGTCTTACAGCAAAGATTCAGCGATATTTTACTTCTGCCGTCCAGTTCGCTTCTCAGCCGGTCCCAACAAATTGTGCGAAGGTCCCGGAAAGATGCGCTCAATCAATACTTCCCCCAAAAGTCTGCTTGGAGGTGTTGCAAAGCTGCCCAGTGTGTGCTGACATTGGAAGGCAAAGCAGCCATAGCATCAGCAACAGTTCATATCCAATAAGGCCCCGACTGGCCACAAATGCATCAGAGCTGGTATCCTTGGTCAAGCCGTGAATCAGTGAAGGTTCACAAGCAGCACATGTGACGTTGGCAAAAGTAGCATTCGGAATGATCAGCAAACCAAGTTCACTTGCGCAGAATGTAGTACTATAATCAGACAAGCATCCATAGCAAAGAGAGATACGACGGATAGGCCATCATAACCATTTTTGGTGACACTTGCGTCCGGGTGACATCCTCGCAGGACTTGGAATGAATCCAGCGACATCAAGGCCCATTGAACAAGCGCAGCTGTGAACGCATGCCTGATCAGTTTGTATCAACAGCAGCGTGTTGGGTGGCATCAATCAATGATATGTGTCCTATCTTGGGGGCACATGTTTGGGCATGTTGCCCAAGCCCCTCAGTCAGCCGCAGGGACCTGCGTCCATGAAGCACCGCCCATTTTGTTTACCTGCCATAGTAGCAAATGGAACCAATGGGTAAGCAGGTTCCTTTTGGCAGCCTTGTACTCTTCGGCATAATTTGCACGTGCAGAACTTGGCAGGTTGCTGGCTCCTCCAGATTGTGGTGTGCGCATGCTGGGTCATCTTGCATCCCCAAGTCGGCGAAAACGCAAGATTGCTTGCTACTCAGTCTGCTCCAAGTTGTGCACTGTTCTTGTCGCACACCATCATGAGGAGCAACAACTGTTGCTTAAGTAGATACGCCCATCTGACAGCCTTCGAATCCTAAAATCCTGACACCGCCGAAATGCGTGTAGGGACATCCTGGGCTTCCATGCATTTCCGGTGCATGCTACCGATTTGAGTGATCCTTAGCGCATGAGCCATCTGACCTGCACGATGGAAGGCCCAACAGTGTATTCAGGCTGATGTCAGACTGGCCTTGATAGCAAGAGAACATACCATTTGCAAGTGGGGAGGATAGGATGCCAGGACTGCACCGGCGAGGCACGATCAAACAAGCAAGACTGCATACCACGCCAAAGGAGCATTTGAAAAGAAGCAGCTCCCTGCGAGGGCAAACTACCCTGCTTCATGATTAAAGGTCGCAATTCCCTTTAACCCACCACTTAGGGGGTGACTTTGATCATGATAAAATAATGAGGCCAGTCCCATGTTCCCATGTTTGGGGTCCAAATCGGTCGGTGCGGTCGGTTAAACTAGTCTTTTCGGCCAGGAGAACCTGCCTCCAGCCGCTTCCGCACAAGGCTGTTCAGCTGCAGGGCATGCCAAATGGCAAAGTGCTTTGCCGCAGAAGCGGCAGCAAAGGCATCGACATCGCCTGGAAGAGGTGCGTCTTTTTGAGGCTACCTTGTCTGCTTTTGGTTTTCTTTTGAGACAATCCCATGTGCGTATGAGGACGTTTAGCGACGTGCTTTTTTACCCAAAGCTGCCGGCAAGAACGCTAATGCATGCTGCAGCTTTAGCCGGTCAAGGCTGGCGGTGGGCTTGGTTCTTTTCTAGTTGCTGCGGGGAAGATAGGAAGCCTTTTTGTTCGACAAGGTGCTGAATCAAAATGACCAAAACAAAAAATGACTCCTGCACCTCAGCCATCAAGGGTTCCCGCCTAAAGCAATAAACACAAAGCAAGGATTGACAACGGCCTCCCTCATGTGTAAACATGAATGCTGGAACGTCTCCTGGCCTCACAAAGCCAGTGACTCAACGTTTTGCAAGTGCCCATCATATGGGGCGGGGAGGGGGGTTTAAACAAATGTCTCTTGCAACCATGTCCGCTATCTACGCGAGTCGTTGGTCTGTAAGAGGAACCCTCCCTGCAAAGCGCAATGAATCACGAATCATGTTCCAGGGACCTCCCCTAAGTTCCTTCCGGTGATCATGTTGGTGGGGTGGAACTTAGGAGAACTGTCAATGATCTCCACGAGGCTTGAGGGCCTGCCCTAGACTGACGCTGCATGGACTGTGACGCTCAGCACATGAGCACCTGATCATTTTCTGCTGTTGGTGACACTGGTGGTTGCAGCCTCTCTTGTCTCAAACATTGCAACAGCTGCACTCCGGACATCTCATGCATGTCATTAGCATGTCCCCTGCCTGGTATCTCCAAGTTGGCCAACTGATGCGACAAGTCCTGCCCAAAAACAACATGATGACACTGCGATTAGGAGCCTCGTCGTGTTCCTTCAGCTGGAAGCCCTGAATACCCCGTGGAACGACAGTTTTACCGTTTTGCAACTTCCAGTAGCGCCAGTTCGAAGGGCTCGCTCGCCCTTTGAACTGGTGAATTCAGATTTCCATCTATCAACAGCCAGATCGCCACAGCAACGCTCTGAGACAAAAAGACACAAAAGCAAGCCGTCGTCATGTACACAAATTCAAACAAAGAGCGCACCCATTGGCGTTCAAGCACGCCCCAACTTCGCCCGGCCACAACTTCCCAGGATCAGGAGCTTCCCGCTTGCAAGGAGAATGTGCGCATCCGCAAGGAAGCCATTTGTTCGGAGCTATACGGGTCTCCTAACGGCTCAAAGACTCGCGGCCTCGCCGCGCCAAAGCTCTGGCAGCAGCTGGAACTCATGGCAGGATCCCAGCATGGCAGAGGCCATGCGCAGGTCCTGTGGGGGGTTGGAGGTGAGGCTGATTTTTGGGGTGTTTTCTTGAAACCCACCTAAAACAAAGGAGGACAAATTGAGTGAGTTCGACAAAAATTATGGACCCTGGTTTAAGGGGAAATCCGAAGGGAACTAATCAATTTGCAGTGTCCCGATGCCCGGAAAATACTAAATGAAGCCTCCCAGGCAGCCATCATTTTGAAGGCCTTGTCTTTGCCTGTCAGCTTAAAGCTTCCAACAAGCGGCAAAGTCATCGATACTCGACTTCAGGAGTCAAATCGTAGGCCTATTTATGCACAACCAGTCAGGCATGACTCACGATGCCATGCACATATGAATGACGTCAAAGCAACGCACAACTTCGCCATGTCGCCCCCAATATTTGATCAAATTGCTCACCCAAACCTGCCACCCAGCCACGGTCATCATGAAGGTAGGGGCATGGCTGCAACGATGAGCTCTAAAATCACTTCCAAAGTCTGCGCAGAAAACTCCTCGTGCGCTTCTGCGTGGTAGCGCAGGGCAAGCAGGGCCTGCGAAGCAAGGACTTACTCAAGTCCAGCTTGAAATCCCGTTCCGGACGGAAACTGGAGGTGAGTTGGGCTTTCATGTTTGCAGTTGCTTGCCGCTGTCAAGCTCTGGCTGAAGTCTGCCTGATATCCTCACACTTATTGCTGTTTGTAGTCGCAGTCTCCTCCAAGCGAATTCTCATTGCTCAACCATCGAAGTTAGAGATCCCATGAACGAAGCCCGCGGAAATTGTCGTGCGGTGAGGTCGTTTCGAGGGCCAAACCCAACACGTAGTCCAGCGCCTGCGCGCGCACCACCAGAGCCGCAGCAAAGCCTCGCTTGCTGACTGGCGAGGCAGTGCATGCCAAAGGTGGGCACTTCACGCCTTCTCACCCGCCGGGCTGACAATTCGAGCTGAGACCCCTGTCTTCAACAACCCTTGCCCAACGCAGAGTGTGCAAAATGTGATTAAACTGAGCCAAATCTGATATTACAACAAGGAATCATGCTGTGCGAGCTTCAGCATGCAGAATGCAAGCCGCTTTCTGGAAGGTGGGTCTAGAGTGATACCTGTCAAATTGATGCCTGGTAGATTCCAGTACGACGACAAATTCTCACAAGGACATGACAATATTGTTCGTATTCACCACAGCATGACCACATTCAAATGCTCTAAATTCCCATGGATGCGCGCCCCTTCAGTTCTCCTTACCACAGCCTAGCAGCCGAAGGGGCAGAAGAGGCCCCACCGATTCCAGCAACGGCGGCCTCCAGTTCAACACACTGCGCGGGGTCAAGTCTTGAATAAGCAGCGTCCATTTGCCTCCGTGCGGAACAAGGCACATGGAGAGCTGCATGTCATATTTATCAAATATGGACAAGGTGCCTTTTGCAAGAAAAAAACAAGGACCATCTCAAGGACAATTTGAAGTTTGAAGGCTTGGTATGCTCGCAAAAAGTACACATGAAGTGCGAACCAATTCTCGCGGGCACATATAGTTGATACATCATCCGCAGCTCAAGATTGGGAGTGGATTCAGCGGCCAAGTGGCCACTCCAGGTTGGCGAGCGTCCGTCCCGGAAGAAGTGATACGAGCAAAAGTCGTCCCCGTACCACCTGGCATGCAGAAACGTGAGCTGGCACAAGAGATCTTCGGTGCTACCGTGGATCAGCTGGTAGGTGGTTCATCCAGCGTTTCATTATCCATCTAGAGCTTCATCATCAAGCCAACTGATGCTGGATTTCGTCCGCCCATTGTATGTCTGGTTTCACTTCAACGGGAACCGAAGCTGAACACGTGTGTCTATAACGTCAAACACTTGCCACATGAATGCCGCAGCTGACAACCATGGCCTCCAGTGTACAGGGATGTGATCAGACTCGCAAAGGTCAAAGGAATGAAGGTAGACCTTGCAGCCGTTCTCCCAAACGCAACTAGTGATATGCCAAATTTGTACATGCAAACCCATGGCCGCGACTGTCGGACATGGACCATGGACACAGGCAAGTTCCACCCCGAAGGACGCATGGAGCGGAGCACGGCATCTCTGGGCATCCCAGCAGTCGCCATCCAGAACCATGCGCTTTTGGCAAAGCGTTCCTGGGCCAACCACGGGGCATTTCAGTTCGCAAATCCGAAATCTCGATCGAGCGGAAAGGGGCGCTCCGCCTACAAGTTTCAATGGCCAAATAGAGCCCCCAAATTTGAGACAAGGCCATTGCTAACCAAAAGCCACAGCTGCCCCCCCCCCCGAACAAAGCAAACCGCATTCTGCCGAGCATCGATGATCTCAAGTGCCCGGCCCAAGCGGCAGCCAGACTGGGTTGGTCGAAGCCGGCGGTTTCGCACCGATGGCAAGCAGGGGTCTGCCCTTGATGAGAAGTGTTTATGTTGACACAAAGATCTCCGATGCAACACGGAGAATAAACAAAAACGACCCCATCGATATATCCGGGGTGAATTTGTGGTCTGGCAATGTGGCTATCAAGAGCAATTGATGTCATGGACTGCAATGCAGGTAGTGTCGGAGATCGCATTTTCGGTTTGACTTACTGCAAGAACCTCCGTGCGGTGGGACACTCCTGCTAAACATGTGGTCACACTAGCATATAATTGAGCCTTCACGGGATCAATGGACTTCTTTTTGCGCAGCTGCGGGCATGGCATGGTCAGCAGGCCTTTTGCTTTAACCCGCACCTTTCACTGCAGTCTTCCATTGAACGTTTTACTTTGTTGCCTTCGTCTAGCATCAGAGAGTTTGCAACCCTGCTGCTTGAGTAAAAGGGACAACACTGTTCTTCCTTGCTGACTATACCAAGACCAACGGCTCGTCATTGACATTTGGGCATGGATCCAGGTCAAATGCTCATCTGTTGCTGAAATATGGTTGGTCAACGGCTTCGAACAAAGAGTAGACGCACACTTTTGCGCAAGTGACTTGGATGGACGGCGTGGCTAGCATGGGGCTAAAGTCCAGTGACAGACTAGGCAGTGGAGAAGTTCTTGAGGTAGGTGTCATTGGAGCGTTGAAGTGTGGCTCAAAGTTGACACGCGATGACAAGGCCTCAGGTGAAGCCAGCAACAGCACCAACTGGAGCTGTGAATGGCAGGCAAGAAAGCACTGCGCGGCGGAGACTTGGAAATTTAACATGGTGAAAATTCCTCATGTGGGCCACGACCATGCTCGCTTTCTTAGGAGCCCTACAGTGGTTGTCTAATTTCACTTCTTTGATACCCATCCATCCCTACCAACCCCAAGCCAAAGGGCGTCTGACCACGCTACACATGAGATACTTTGTCTCAAATGCTTGATGCATGACCGCTTTGACAGTCTATGTGTCTTGTCGCGCATTGATTCCAGCAACTGTCTGCAATGGCATGGCTGATGCCAATCAACCAATCTATGTTTTTCTTTTGAGGATGCCCTTCTTGAATCTTCTTGAAGGAAAATCCTGTCAGATCGAATCCCTCGACCCAATGGGCCTGCAAATCTTGCACCCAGCCATGCCACACCTGGCCCAACGGCCCAACTTGGGGACCGGTCCAGAACCCAAGCTTCTTGGATTCCTTCAGAATTCAGCACACAAGAAAGCCCGGCATAACTCTCCATGTTTGCCAGCACACAAAGCGAGCAAATCCTGACAGCCAAAGATTGCTCTGAAGATCCTCCAGCACACAGCTGCACGCATCCCCTCCGGGGCAAGCCCCCGCTTTTCAGCTGGGAACAAAAACTCTTGCCACGAAGAAACCCCAGGCTGGGAGCCTCTGCAGCCCCATAGAGAATCAAAGCCCAGGTTGAAAGGAACCTGAAAAGCGGAAGTGCCCTTTGATTATTTGTCATGGGGTTGGGGGAGGCATCTGGCAGTCAATGGCGAGCACATCCTTAACAAGGCCTTATTAGGTTATCTTAAGCTACAAGGTCGATACGGCAAAATTGAAATATAGGTGCTCGTAAAAATCGACTATCGAATGCCCCCCCGCCCCCTCCATGGAAGTTGGGCTACAAAGCCTCTGTTTTGTGAGAACATCCTAACCCGTGGCGTTGAGCAAGGAGCTGAACATTTCTGGTCGCGGCCTCATGCTGCGCCGATTCTTGGCACAGCAGCCACGCTGGGCGGCGGTTGCCTGAGAGCATCACTCAGAGCGAGGGCTTTGGCCACTGGGGCTTTGTTTCTTGGTCCAAAAGACACGCAGTAGACCCTCCCCCAGGCTAACACGCAAGCTCCCACCCCTCTGGAAGACTTGGGTTCATTCACAGAGGCCAATGCGGGGAGCTTCCATGTTAGCCTGAGGGAGTGTGCAAGATCCACCTTTTGGAGGACATGATTTATGGATGAACGCGAGCACCCAAGGGCCAGGTTGGCTTTAGACATCTGAGAGTTGCTTTGATATAAGCTATCTGCAACAAACATGTGCATAAGCAATCCAAGCCCTCGACGTGTCGGGTCGGGCTTTTCCGAGAAAAGGACTCAGTCTCTTGAAGTATCCGTTGGACTGGAAAAACCGCCAAGGCTGACATCTCTGCAAAGGGTAATCCACCAGAATCCACCTGCGACCATGGAGAATCCAAGTTGGGCCGTGCAGAGGTGGATAAGCTCGAAAGGGCCAGCTACCAGGCTACCATCAGCATCGATATTGCCCACATGTTGATTCAAGGTTGGTATCCCTTGAAGATCATTTGGGTGACAAGTGCTTTCAGTGTTGCCTCTTAATGTTTGTACTCTGTAAGCATGGCGGCTCTGATGTTGCGGAAGGATCACGCTTCCAGACGGCCCAAGACAAAAATGCAAAAAGACAATGAACAGCGCGCAGTGCAGCCCGCGGCTTCTTAAGGTACTGGCTGGGAAGGCGCCGCAAGAAGCGCAAGAGATCCTCTACCTCGCGGCCGTATTTGCTTTGCGCTTGTTAGGGCTGTTGTGGTCTGGACTGTTTAAACCGAAGCAATTTTTGCATCAGTGCTGATCAACTGGTTGTGCAGCAAGTGGCTCGGCTACTGCGAAATCAAGCGCTGTGTGTGCTTTGCAAACCTGTGTTCCCAATCCAGCAATCCTTTGCACGCATTCTGGAATGGACTTCTTTCTGGACTCAAAGACTCTCAGTAGAGAACTTGCCTCCCTTGACAAGATCATGCAAAGATGAGGACCCCTTGTGCAGAAAGCCGTTTTCTGCAAACTTCTCAACTCCTCTGCCCCTTGCCTTCTTGGATCCTGGCGAGCAAGCGGCCTGGACCAGTGCAAGCGGCAAGGAAAAGCGTTGATGGGCCCGACTAGCTTGTCAAAGGGGGCTCTGGGGTTGAGTACATCTGCATCCCCAGGACAAACGCATGATGCATCCATGTGAATAGCAATGCACTTCGAAACAAGCAGCAACCAATTTGTCGGCATCATTCAATTCTCCAAGGGTTGAGAATCTGCTGAAGCGACCGACTGGATGCTGACACTGGGTTTCATCACTCGGTTTGACCCATAAAAGTGGCAGATTCTTAGGCAGCAGCGCAGCCAAAAAGCAGAGTCCCACTTTGTCGAGAAGGCTAGGTCAACTGTCCCTTCCATTCAGTGATTTAGACTGCGCGGTTGTGGAAGCATGTCCAACCTGACAATGCCTTCCTGACCACCCAGTCAGCTTGGGTCGAATGGGCAACCAACATGCCAATTTGCAGATGTATATTGTCTGCAAAGCCAGTTCAGGCTTCCTAGGAAGCCTGGACACACACAAACTGAGGCTGGAGTCATCCACTTGACCCTGACCTCCAACAATATATCACGCACACCTCTCAGCAAGGATGCATTGCCAAGTCCTTGGTGTCGTTCCGAAACGCCCTGCAAATGTGCTGTCAGCCTCTCCTGAAGGTTGCCAACCTCTCAAACCTGACAGGGATGCTTGCAGCATAGCAATACTGCACGACTCAAGGGACAGCCAAACATGAATCCTCCGAATCCAGGAGCACCCCATGCTGCCCAATTAGATGCTTGCAGTTCCGAGGCAATCCACCCCGTCGGAAAAAACACAAAAGCGCAGAATCATAGAGCTCCACGAGCATAAAGTCGTATTGTTTGCAGGAGTTCAGTTGCAGCATGAGTACCCCACTCTGTCGCTCACAGCATGTGGTACTGATCTTCGGGTTCTGTTGCATCCGTCACCAGAGAGTCCTTTAAACATGCCACCACCAGCAAATAGCCGCACGTCTCCATGCATTGCAGTCCGGTGAGTATAATCAAGGCCAGCTGGTAGGGGTTGGAGGAATCTTGCACTGCCATCCAAATCACCAGGCCGTAAAAGGGTAGCAACAGCACGCCGAAGCCCAGAATCATCCACCCGAAGATGGCCTTTCTGGCGCTCATGGCCCGCCAGCTCAGCAGGCTCCACAATGGCAGGATCGCCATGCTGGACATCAGCACGCTCCGCCAGAGCTGGGGGAGGTTGGAGCCTTCATATCCCCACAGTGCATAGAGCACCCCCTGGAAGGCCGCGATGATCTGGCCGTGGCACCAGGTCTTCTTCATCAACAAGCGACTTGTGGCCGCGTCCAAACTCTCCTCCATGGGCTCGAGCGAGACCGGAGACACTAAGCTCCGTTGGGCGGCGGCTGGCACACCGGCCCTAGTCAAGCTTGAAACACAACCTAAAGATTGAACAGCTGCGTCTCATGGACCTCTTTTCCGCTGGTTGAAGCATTGGCAGTTCAAACTCAAAGGGTGCAGTACATGCAGTACCAATTCCCAAAACAGACACACAAACATTCGCGAAATCCTCACCCCGTGCCTCCTCCTTGTGCTCTTGGAGCAGCACGTTGTGGGCTGCCCCACTCCAGCCTTGGGCTAAGTTAGGGCCCTGCGTTACAACTAGCCCTTCGGGCGGTGTTCCTTGTTGAGGCTCGAGGTTTCCCCTATTTTAACAAGTCCAAATGGGTAATTTGGTTTTGTCAAACAATGGCCATTTTGGGGTGGTCCCCATCAAAACTGCAACTTGCATCAATTTGGATCATGGTCCCATCAAAACAACAGCCTCCATGTTGTTTGGTTATCCAAATTCCCTTGCCAAACGATGCAGAACCAGTCCTTGCAACCACGAGCAGCTTCTGAAACTTGAGCAGACCCTGAACGATTTTGGGCTGTGAAACGCCCTCCTTTTGTGTCTCAGGCTCCAAAACTTGGATGAAGTATGCGCAGCATGAATGTTGTTGTGTGCTTCGCGTATCTCCTTCCCAGATTCACTTTGATATCATGCAGCTTGAGGTTTGCACAACCTTTGTTCAGCCTTTTTTTGACAGCTCCCACGTGAAAGTATGTGCTGGAAGCCAAACAAACGGAGTGGGCGTTGCAACGATTGGAGTGACTTTCGGTCTACATGGCTAAAAGGCTTCTATAGGCCCTATGGTAACTCCCATGACTACCTACTTGACACCGCATTGTTTGGCATCTTGGGAAGTGGGTGGGATGAAAAGAACAATCCTTACCCATCAGGCCCACACCTCCCCTCCCCCAGTCTGGCAACTACCAGCAACTCGTGGTTTCATGGACTCTTGACAGGCACAAGTCGAAACGTTCTCTCAACATACTTCCTTTAACAATCTGCGCAAACCCACACTCAAACACAAGTTGCCAGCATACCCCATTTTTTTCACCTTCTGGCACAACAAACATGCAAATGCCACTGGTTTGCACCGTGGTTACGATGCACGCGCCACTTGCCTGTAGCGCAACTTCAAGTGGGTGGCAAGCAAACTCCCAGACTTCTTCTTTGCACATCCAGTCACATCCACGCGTGATCAACCGCCGTCACACGGGTTCGAGCTGCTTTGCTGGTGCACGATTCAGCTCTATAACCAACTTTCCTGACACAACAACAAGGCTTCACAGCCGATGCAGTGCCTTTATCAAGGCTTCTCAACCCGCAACTGTTGTCCTGAAGATGGCCATTTACGGCAAGAGCTGTTGTCAAAAGAGGGCTTGTCAAAGGTGAAAACGCTGGTACCCCGTACTTCTGATTTGAGCTACGAAAGGGTGACTTTGCGACATTGGCTGGCGTGCTGAGATACAAAGAGTGCGGAGTTGCAAACAAGCACAGGTCCGTGTCCTGTGCGTGAAATGTCCAAACGCCGCCAAGCAACACAATTGAGCACTGGCTGGCACGCGCCCCACAATACATCCGCCGCCGAACGCTTCCGCATCCGGCTCTGCAGCACCTGGCTGTTGCTTCTTCGGAGACCAGCCAAAAACAACAAGGAAAGGCCGTCTTTGCCCAGAAAACGGGAAGGGGCAAATCCACATGTTCAAACATCTAAACAGCACAACTAATTCATTGCGGCCAGCCCTGCAAGCTGCGGGCGGGCCCCCCTTTGCAGGCACAGTCAGCTGTTGACAATCCGTCAAAACGGAAGGTTTGGGGGTTGAGTGTCAAAAGCGAGCGGGAGATTCGATCCAGGAGTCTGTGGTAACCTGGTACATGAAACTGCCGACAAAAAAGCGACGCAGTCAATACAGCGCAGAATCAAACTCAAGCTTACTCCAATACAAGCAGAGTGTAAAGGAGAGACCTACGTACTCATTTGGATGGGGCCATGTTGAAACACGCCCAATTTTCAGTAGCCGTAAGCCTCCAAAATGGCGACTTCCCAGTTCAAAATCAGTGGCGCATCAAGCTTTGTCTGCATGAACCGACATTCACATGCAGCTGCAAAGCACTCCAAACAGTTTCTCACAACACTCTGGCCTTCGCTCACTGCCACAGGTGCTACCTTCCAGTTGCTGTACCTGATCAAGCGCCCTAATGTATGTCCATGCAATGTCCTGGAGTTTGCACACATCTACTGGAAAGAGCAATATGCGTGCACGAATCGTATACTTGCGGTTTGCATGTGGCCATGGTGAGACAAGAGCAGATTTGCTCCAATGCATGATAAATTGGATGTGAATGCTTCGGCCGGGAGCCGTCCTCTTGGTCCTCTTTGGGGCAATCATGGTGCTGGAAGTCAAGATCCAACTGTTTGGCTGTGAACTCAAAGAACCGGCACTAAAAAATCAACCCTGGTAAGTGGAAACATGGACCAAAACTTGCGCAACCCCTCCTGTTTATTTTTGAGCCACACCCATTTTTTTAAAAAGATTGTGAGAATACCTAGCTGCAACACGTCCTGGCTGCCACTGCCTTGACGATCCTTTCAGCTTTGCGCGCATTTCGCTGGTCGCACAAGGCCAAGAGCGTTATGTCCACATTCTCCCTGGGCGCTGGCAACCACACCGCCGTATCACCGAAGCCCACGGCGTAGGCGATGTACCTACGTCTCAGGGTTTGCAAATGTGAGGCTGGTTGTCCTCGAGGAGTTGACCGCCTCTTCAATGCTAGCTGCTAAGCTGTTGCCTGCTTATTTGCTTATCCCCGCCAGCCAGCTACTCCTGTCTTGGCCTTACACATCCTTCTTGCTTGGTTGACGTTGGAAGGGGAGCAAACATTTAAATTCTAGCAGTTTAGTTGGGATTTCAACCACTCAACCACAAGAAACAACAATGTAAAATGTTTCCCAACAACAACCATCCTTGAGGCAAACCGGACACTGGACTGGCCGGAGCTTCTCCGGGCACTCGATGGCGCTCTTGAGGAGCTCCGATCCCTGCAAGGCTGCAAGCTGAAGGGCGTGAGTGAGCAGCCCTTTGCGTAGACGGCTAAGTTTCCCACTTGTAACCAGGGAGCCAAAGCACCAACTCGAAGGAAGTGTGAAGACGCGATTGGAGCAACGCCACAGGCAATATTGTGGACAGCCTGACATCCGAGAGACAAACTTTTTCAGGCAGCGCAATCTACGCCGAGCATGTAATCCTTTGCGTGGCTGTTTCGAGGGCAGAACTGATCGCTGCTTCATGCGAACAAGCTGTTCACTGGTCCTTTTTAGATGAGTTTGGTTGAAAATTGATGGTTTCCTCTGGTTTCAGTTTGCTTGTTTTTCTGTGCTTGCCAAAAACAACACTCATATGGGTGTGATTTGTAGGGGATCGCTTGATGGATGGCACACGCGGATTTACGTCCACCGAGCATTGTTCAGGGGGTTCTAATCAAGGAACAACAAATCGCCATACCGGTATATGTTTTTCGGGAGCTGGCTTGAAAGGGAAGCAAAAGGACACAGTTTTGGGGGGTAGCCTCCCTTCCACTCCCTTTTGGAGGAAAATGCCCCCCCACCCCACCCCGGTCAGGTTCCATCTTAGTGGCTGGGAGGGTGCCTCGTTTGGAGACAAACACATATGCGTCCCCATTTGACTGTGCCGATTCAAGTGAAATCCTCAAAAACGTGCTTGACATGGCAAGGGCAACAACTCCTACACCTTTTTGAGAAGTCCTCCACATACTCTGTGGGTCGAAACCAATGTGATCCAGTTTGGGGTGGAAGAATTCATCCAAGAGATACAGGATTTGTAAGCTAATAATAAATCTGTTCTCTGTCTGTGGTCAAGGATTTTATAATCTACAACTTTATTATTGGCATTTTATAGAAATTATGATGGCCAATAATAAAGACTCAGAAATTAAACCGTCAATGATAGAATAATTACCCAACAGATCCAATTCACCCGCTGGCCAGTTCTTTCTAGCGGTTACAAATGAAGAAGTCATACAACAAAGAAGTTCTAATAAAAGCAGTTTATAATAAAAACAATTAACATCTTAGAGGTTCTTTCTTATTATTATTTTTCTTTTACAAATTATCTGTCTTTTTCATAATATCAACATCTTATTATCATATGTCCCTTTCTTTTACTATTCATTCATATTATTTTGTTATATTGTTTTTCTTATTACCCGTTTTTGTCTATAATGGGGGGGATGTTCCCTGGGGATACGATTTGGATGTTGACCCATGGCCACTTCCGAGAAGTTCACTTGGACCTAGCTTTGGACCCGTGCGATCCTGTGCGCAGGCCGCAGGCACGCACACGGCCACACCCCCGCGGAGGGCCTGAGGCACCGGGGCAAGCGGGCCAATGTGAGCCGGTGTTTGCTTTGGGCCTACTAGATTAATTACAGTTGACTCCCTCAGAATCACACTCCAAAAGTATTCAACACTTGGGGGGGGGCTTCAATAGCCAAGGCAATTGATGTTTACCAACAAATGCATTCACTCGCTTCTTCACCGTGCTGGTAACCCTGCAAATCGGATTTTCAATCGGACATACTAAATTGGCTGGACGTGAATCGTCAGGTCTTTTGGATGTCCAATGCCAAAAAACCAAAGGCCCTGAACCCACACCCAGAAGGGTTCGAACCGGACCTTCCCAAAAGGGTTCTGATCGAAAGGCTTCTTGGGGGCTAGGAGGGCGGTCCGGTCTCTGCTGACTTGGAACCAAGATCTATCCAAAAGGGATCTGATAGCTGTCCCATATAGAACACCATTGCAAGATACTGAAGTGCATATTCATTCTGAGCTCCAGTTGGACAATCTTGATTGTGCTGGGGCAAAAGGACACAAGTACTTTCCTCGTTCGGGACACTATGTGAACATATCTACTAATTGCGACGGACCTTCAAGAGATCCATTCAGAAAGGATCAACACAGAAGCTGAAACAATGAGTGTTGAGCTTGGATCCATGCGAATCGCAGGACCAATCCAAGGGACCACCCGTGGCGATGTCTTGATTGCTCATTCACAAGCAGAGCCAGCCCTGAACTGTATAAAATCCGTCGACCCCATGCCTTGTCCAGAATGGACCATGCTTTTGGCATGGGGGCGGTGTGTTCTGTGTTGCTTTTGTTGATATGTTTTCTATCTTTTTAATGTAAATATAATTATGTATATATATATATATATCTATATATAAATATATATATGTCCGTTGGGGCGGGAAAATACGTCGGCTGGATTTCTGGATCTCTGGATCTCCGGATGTCTGGATCTGTGGATGTCTGGAGCTCTGGATCTCTGGATGTTCGGATTTTTGGATCTCTGGATCTCTGGATTTTCCTCCCCCGCCCTCCCATTGTTATTCTTAAGATAAATTTATACATATGTTAAGAATATAAAAAAAATAAAAAAATAAAAAAAACATACTATTTATTAATATGATAATATATATATATATTCATAATACTAATACTATAATAATTATTTATTTACAAGAATTCGACTTCCATGACCACAGTCCTGCTGTCAAAATGAACCAACACCCTTTGTGGTATCTGATGAGCGTGCATTTAAGCACCTTAGCCAAACGTTAGGTTCTTCCCTCATCGCCAGTTCTGCTTACCAAAAACGGCCCACCCCCCCCCCCCCCTCCCCCACCACCCTCCGCCCCCCCTCTGCCCCCCCTCCCCCCCCATCAAACCTAGAAGCCCAGCAGCGCTTCGACAAAACCAAGCCAAATCTAGCTCAACCCAACATCAAATCCAAATCCAAATCCAAATCCAAACATGCTCAAGAACCAAAGCAAACCCTACAGCCTCAACAAAACGGTCATCTGCCAGTTCTCTGGATTGATCCAGCATGCTCAAGATACGAGTCACCCGTCCATCTTTTGGTCCCGCTTGCTACGTGTGCTCTCCTTCCTTCAACAGACCAGTACAATGATTTGGCGGCTGAGGTAAGCCCTGCGTTGGTTGGTTGTAGTGCCTTGGGAAGGGTGCATGTCTGAGCGTGTGCAGCTGAGGCAGCTTGTCAGCACGTCAGAGCGAGTTTGCTAGCAAAACCTTCATGTACGTCTGTATGTCTGTCTGTCTGTCTGTCTGGCTGTATGTATGTATGTATGTGTGCATATATGTAGCATGTATCTATGTATGTATGTATGCATGTATGGATGTATGTATGTGTGTCTGAGTGCGTGCGTGCCTGCAATGCACTGCACGCACTGCAATGCACTGCGATGCGATGGGTTGCGATGTAATGTATGCATGCATGCATGTATGTATGTATGTATGTATGTGTGTATGTAGGTAGGTAGGTAGGTAGGTAGGTAGGTATGCAGGTGTGTATATATATATATATGACCGCCCACCAACAAACATGGAACTGAGACTATTCCCCGTTTCGAAAGGTGGTCTGCACACTGCTTTGCGTGTTCGTGCGAGGTATGTGCAATGAGAACCATATGTACACATCAACATTTACATCCACCTTCAACCTGCTATCCGGGCTGAGTAAAAATGCGCTAATTCGTTCTTCTTTTTGACAATCAACAACACATAGATCACTTGTGACCGCTCCACCCAGCAGACTCAGCTCCTCGCAATTAAGACCTCCTCATCCGCATTTCGCTCTAGAAAATCCAGGAACCTGGGTTTGCGAAAGGTGGACTGACCTTCCTCGGGATTTGCCCAACAAAAGACACAGCTTTTTTGATTCCCTGCTACATGTATTGAACCCTGAGTATGAGACTATATCAAAAAGATCCCAAACAGTCTCATCTTGTTGGCGGCCAATTCTGCATCGCGTTGTGCTCCCAAACATGGTGCCCGGAGAAAAAGGACACTGAACGACGAGGCTGGCTTTGTGGTGTTCAACACCCCTCTGCGTTGGAAATGAAGGGCACTCCAACAGAAACACCCGTCCAGGCGATTGCTACGTTCCCTTTGTCTGTAAAACGTCCCAAGAAAGAGTGCCTTCAACAGACAAACATACCAGTTCTAAAAAACACACATATTTGGAACACACAGACACACAATGGTCTCAACGCAAGAGGCGGTTGAGACAATGGTCCCTGCAAAGGCTCGACACTAGCATCCTCGATTGTCTTTCCCGAAGCCATGTGCGACTCAACGCCTTACAGGGCTGTGAGAAACAAAGTCTGCACAGCCCCAAGAAGGCCGCAGTGATTCCTTGTAAGAAAATCCCCCGGCCGCGATCTGGCTGAGGGCAAACAATTAAAGGATCAATCAGAGCGAACGGTGCGTGTGTGTGTGTGTGTGTGTGTGTGTGTGTGTGTGTGTGTGTGTGCAAGTTTCGCAGTCAAAGGCAAGCCGCCAAGCGCAAAACGGCTTAATTTTTAAAGCCAAGCTCCTCAGCAACGACTTGATCTTTAGTGTGCTGGAGGTCTGTTCTTCAGCCGCAGAGGTCTATCTCAATGTTAGACTGTTGTGAATTTCCAGGGTTGACTTTGAGCGCACTGAAACTTACTGAGCGCAAAAAGGAGCAGTTGGGGTTCAGGGTGGCTTGATTGCCCGAGGTGGCCGCAGGTTTCCAATTTCAACCTCATAGCACAAACATCTTCCTGCCTGGCACAAAGTCCCTGCTTATGCCAGGTGCCCGCGCTTCGTCATTACCAAGATCTGAGTCTCTTCAAGGTAACTGCGCGGAATCGGGTCGAAGCCTTGATGTTCGAATGATATTTTCTCTAGGGGTGACTTCTCCCTTGTAGGGGATCCTTCTTTTCAGAAAACACAGCCCACGCCAAAACTCAGGGCGTCCTGGAATGAGAAGAGACCTAGACCTCTACTTTGGCCCACAGGTGTTTGTTGTAAATCTTGTGAGGAAAGCCTTCCTTTAAGAATATGCCCTAGGTGGTCCATTGTATCATTGTATAGCTTTTACAGGTGGCACTTCAACATCTAGCCACGACTCACGATATACGTCCATTGAGGCCAACGACTCCCGGTCAACAACTGGGTCTGAATCTCAACTGGGGACCCTTTTGCCAAAAATCATGGCTAACGGGGCTTCTCCAACTTCTCGAGTCATCTCGTGTCTCTTGCCAGTCAACTGCGATGGACTCTTCTCCCCTGCTGACTAGCGAAGCAAACTCTCAAATCTGTGTTTCACCCACTTGACATTCCAAGTCAAAAGGAGCATCTCTGTGCCTAGGCCAGTGCTGTTTGAAGTGGCAGAGCCGAAATGTCCCTTCAGTCGTCTTGCATGACAGGTAAAGTTAGGCTCAAAAATAAGGCAGCACATGTGCCTTGATACTCAAACGAAGCATGCAATGCCCCCAACGACAAATGACGCATGTGAATTCATGTTGCTCTGCAATTTGTCATCTAGCTTCGTCCTTGCTTCTCATTTTAATATGATGTGCGTCATCCTCTTCCGGAGCTCTGGAACCATACACCGACAACAGCCAAGGCGACAACCTGCCGAACCGAACGCAGGTGACCCATGGTTGAGCGACCTTAAGCGCCCCAGGCGCCCCAGGCCTCTCGCGATTCTCTGCATATTGCAGGACATCCAGCTGTACACCTGCCACCTCC